GGCGCGGACTGTGGACAATGTAGCGAACAGCGCCTAAGTTTTGAACCATTGTATCTCTATCGTACTACATACAATCGGTCCGGCTACTCCCGTGATTCGCGACCCCGTTGAAACTCGACTATTCCGAGGCGAGCCATTGAGATAAATCTTAAGTAGCGTACTTGTAATTAAAATGCATTGTAAATGTAAATCGAGGGTGGAGGAGGTATCACATAGGTAGTTGAGAGCGAAAAAAAAGGTGGTAGAGTGGCGAGAGAAAGGGAGTAAGAGTATTAAGAGAGCCGTCGCGATAGAAGCGGGGCGGCGAAAAAAAATGTATATTTTACGATATGACCGTTGTACTCTAAAAATCACCACTGTAACATTATCGTATCGCTAGTCAGTCGACGCGTTTCGAGGGTAGCGGGAGGAGGAAGAGCGGAGAGGAAGAGCGAATGAAGCGAAACGCGGCGAGAAAGAGGGCGAATAAGAGAGATTTGGAGCGATCGAGTAAATTAATCGAGATATTAAATTATTGTACAAAATTGAACGCCGGTAGTTTGTAAGGCCTATTGTATCGTTTTCCGTTTCGTATCGATTGCGTGCGACACGTACTTGTGGTGGCCGCGGCGCAATGAAGTACACGAACGAGATGTGAAGGGACATGCGATAAAAGCGACGATTCAGTTCGCGATTGGATCTTGAAAGAGAGAGAGAGAGAGTGAGAGAGAGAGAGGGAGACGTTCGTTTATGTTTCTCGTAAAAAATATCCGAGCGAAAGGAAGAGAGATAAAAAGAGAGAATCCAGCGATGCGATCAAAATAAAAGTAAACTATTTTAGTCGACCTCAACGTGACGTAGGCTGTTTCACCTTCCAAAATTGCATGTTGGCTTTTCGTAAATGTTATATCATGCGACGTATTTACATGGAGTGAGGCAATAACTTGAATATCTTCGAAGAATAGGAATATACTTTATTTAACGACTAGATGATGAAATAAATGTACGGGTGTTCAAAGTGATGATCACTGATATCAACGCGATTTCTGTTAGATAAATTTCTATTAAATTTCTGTTAAATACATTTTTCCCCTGCTTTTATACATATTTCGAGGGTATTCAACATGGTAATAGCTACCGCCTCACTCTGTATATTTCCTTTTCATTTCAACGCGTTTCACCTCCCTCCATTTTGCACGCATATATATATATATACATATATATATATATA